CATCCAGGGTGGCATCCAGGCGGGTTTTGAAGACCTCCAGAGTAGGAGACTCCACAACCTCCCTGGGCAGCCTGTTCCACTGCTCTGTCACCCTAACAGTAAAGAAGTTGCTCCTCACCTGGAGACGGAACTTCTTATGCTTCAGCTTGTGGCCATTACCCCTTGTCCTATCGCTGGCCACCAGTGAAAACAGCCTGTCCCCTTCCTCCCTGCATTCTCCCTTCCTGAACTTATACATATTAATCATATCCCCTCTGAGCCGTCTCTTCTCCAGAGAAAACAGGCCCAGCTCGCTCAGCCTCTCTTCATACGAGAGCTGTTCCATTCCCTTAATCATCCTGGTTGCCCTTCTCTGGACCCTCTCCAGAAGCTCCACGTCCCTCCTATACTGGGGAGCCCAGAACTGCACACAGTACTCCAGGTGCGGCCTCACCAGAGCTGAGGAGAGGGGCAGAATCACCTCGCTTGACCTGCTGGCAACACTCCTCCTGAGGCAGGCCAGGATCCCATTGGCCTTCTTGGCCACGAGGGCACACTGCTCACTCATGGTTAACTTAGTGTCGACCAGGACTCCCAGGTCCCTCTCCGTGGAGGTGCTTTCCAGGAGGTCGACCCCTAATCTGTACTGATGCCTGGGGTTATTCCTCCCCAGGTGCAGGACCCTGCACTTGTCCTTATAAACAGCACCTCTCAGGGCTGTTGAACAAGAGATGGCAGAACGAGATTCATCTATTTCTGGCTTTCAGACTCATCAGTTTGATATTTCCAACATATTAATTTTGGTATCAAGGACATATTTTTCTATGTGAATTTGGTTCCCAGACCAATTTTTGATGTGCTTGGGGATTTAAATGCATTTTTTTAATATACATAATGTAAATAAAGGCTGTAATAATGTTTTTCTTTCTCACTTAGCACTGAGAACAAATTTGAATTTTCTACTTGTTATATGATATGGTATTCTCATATTTTAATGTGTATTTTCATTTCTCTCCATATTTCTCTTGTTCCAGATGCCCTTACTCTGCAAAATACATATTCATCCATATTTTATGTACATATTCACCTTCACAGAGAAAGAGTTAAACACAGGTAAGTTGTAACTCTATGGCTGCTTGCTCAAAGATTATTATGTGCGGATTATATGAATTCTCTATATATTTTTTCTTTGAAAGAGTTTTGCTGGCAGTGAAGGGGAAGGCTGTCTGCCATGATGCAGCTGCTTGTGAAGTCCCCTATGCGAGGTGGAACCTGGTGAGAGAAAAAGTTGTTCTTCTCTGCTGAAGTGCAACTCAGAGGAGATTGTAGAGGAACAGTGATGGCCAGGCCAGGAGGTGGGGAGGAAGAGGTTGCAAGGTGAGTTACTGGGTAATTCAGGCTGGAGGGACCAGGAGTGTGCAGTCCAACCTCTCGTGCAAAGCAGAGCCAGCTGAGGTCAGATCAGGTGGCTCAGGGCTTGTCTAGTCTGAGCTTGAACAAGATTACTGAATGGACAGCAGATCTGCAGTGAAGCCTCAGAAATTTGGGAAAGAAGGAAAATGTACCAAGTGACTCAGATCCTTCCCTTCCTCCTCCCCCCAAAACAATCATTCAATCAATCAAGCAAACAAACAAACAGCCCTGCAAAGGTGCTACTTCAATGCAGGGAACCCTCAAAAGTTGCTGAACTAGCATGCAATAACATCCACCTGCTAGAGCCCATTGGAGCTGACACAAATTTCTTTTCAAGGCTATGATTTTCATCTCTAAATCTTCTGCGTTTTATCTATTTCAGGTTTTGCCTCGTTCCAGGCTATCATTTTCATATTCAAACAAATGAGTTTTAGAAATTGGAAGGTGTTGTAGTCTTTTGGTGTTGTTTCAAGAAAAAAAAAAAAAAAAAAAAAAAAAAAAAGGATGGTTTTACCTTATGGTTTTTAAGCAGCCCTGGGTCTTGCTGTATACATGCAGTTAAGAGGCAGGTTATTCTTCAGTCAACTAGTACACCTCCAGTATTACAGATTATATTTGTGTAACTGAGCTTTTTGTAGTTAATGGAGAGGAAGAATTTTTGATGTTGCGGGGAGATCACTGGGCACAATCATAAAGAGCGTGTAGATATTAAAACCGGGCAACAAGCAAGTTTAAAACCAAGGCAGACCAGACCCTGGAGCCAGAGAAGTTAAGTACAGTACCAAGAGCAAGAGAGAAAGGAAAACATGGATGGAGGAAACCCGGAATACAAAGAGGAAAGGTCAGGAGACTGTGTAGGTTATCTAAGTTTGAGCCCAGGCTAAACAGTGGTCAGATGGAGTGAGCCAGAGGAAGACAAAAACCCTATCATCAAGTCTTTGTTTAACTCAGGAGAATTCACATTACAAAGTTATTGCCAATGACCTTCATGGAAAGAGCTTCAGAATTTGTACACATTTTAGCAACTAGAGAGAATCCGGGCAGACAGTGCCAATTAACAAGGTTTCAACTGCTTCCACATTTGTCTCTTAGCTGTACATTAAAGAACCATTGTTTGCAAACAACAGCATCTTATTCCAAAAATTATTTCAAAAATTATAAAACGAAAAAGCTTCACTGTTAGATTTCTGTTGGTAAAAATAGCCTCCGTCCACATGTTTTAAAATCTGAAGGTACTAAATGAAAAAAATCTAACGAAACAGCGCAGTGGCTTCCTTGATTTTTTTGGATGATCAGCTAACACTTCAGTTTAGTTACTGTTTTGCATGCATGGGAACATTTTGTGTATTTCTTTCCCAGTGCTGACATGGTGGAAATTTCACAAAGTTTGACGGTCTCATAGAAAGCAGTAATCCTAAGGGACCTTTCACTGGACCCTGTAGAGTTTGGCAGACATTCATAAATGGGACCTGCTTTATGTTTTGGGTAGAATCTCTTCTTGACAATGTAATTGTACAGCAAACATTGAAAGAATGGAAATTTTCTTAAAACTAAAACAACTTTGTCATCCTCCATATATTTGCAATGAAGTTGTAGTAATGGAATTTGAAAAGGAATTAGAGGTAGTCTCAGAGCATCTCTTATGACAAACATGTCAAAAATAGTATCTCAGATATAAACATTTTTGAAATGTCACTTTTAGCAGAATTTATACAAGAAGACTAAAAAAGGATACAAATAATGGAGCTTCTAATGTGGCATTTTAGACGTATTTAAAGAACAAAAACTGGGTTTCAGATAACAGTATTTTTGGAATGCATTTTTTATAAAACCTTGTGGCTCAGGTAATTTGTTCTCTTTCAAGGAAAAGAATAATCAAGAATATAAACACTGTTTTAATTATTTTTAATTTGTTTCATAATGGACAATGTTGCATTCAACCAGAAGTGAAGCTGAACTGCAAAGTAACACCCCGTTGTGCACTCGAAGTGGCACTGGTTCAGCAAAAACATGATGCTTGTACAAGATCCATCTTGCAGACTGTGTTCGTGTCAGTTTTAGAAGGAATGAACGGTATGTAAACACCCTAAGGATTGCACAGGGTCACCTTTTAAGAGTATAAGTCTTAGTTCAGTTTTCAGGCATAGAACTGAACAAGGAATCAGTAAACATTTGCTGAAGATTAAAGATCTGGCATATTGCACTTTTTAGATGAGGTCTTGATTCCACAAAAGAGGAAAAAAATAAACTCTCAGCTTACCAAATTTCAAAGAAAAATAATTGTCTGATACATTTCTATTTTAAAACTTTACTAGTCACTTTCATTTGCACAAATTTGTCGCAAAATCATTTATATCTGGCAAGCATGTACACCTGTTTTACCTTCTTTTCAAGGGGAAGGGTGGCTACGTATGCAGATTCTGGTTCTTCTGCCAAGATTTGTTTCAGGGTAATTACAAGGTGTAATTGTGGATGTTTAAACTTAGCTGACATCACACCAGCAGCTTCGGTACCAGGCATACAAATGTCTTCAGTTTCGTGCTTGTTTGGGTCATACTTCTAGTGCTTCAAGGGACAGATTTTTCTTTGGCCTCAGAAAAGCTAGATGCAATTCATTGCATCCTTTTTCCCTCCTCCCTCCTAAAAAAGTTTTCACTAACTTTTTAAAACTTTAAAATTTTTTTTTTTTGTGACAATTTTAAAAACACTTCCTGAAAAAAAAATTAACTTCCTTCGACAGGGCCTCGCTTCCAACCGTGCTCAGCGCTTTCACTCCCCGACACAGGAGCGTCCTGGGCCCGAACACCGCGGGAGGCCCCGAGCCGCAACCGGGGCCTTGCACCCGCCTGCAGCGGGGCTGCGGGCGCCTCTCTGGGCTCGCTCCCTTGGGGCTGCGGGCACCGGCAGCCCAACCCGCACAGCAGGTCGGGACCGCCGGGCCGCGCTCCCTGCGGGGCCGCCCGGACCCGCACGGGGCCGCCCCGACCCGCGCACCCAG